CCCGAAACCTAAAATGCAATAAAAAAAAATAAAATGCAATAAAAAAAGTCAATTGTCATCACCATTTATGGCATGCACATTTTGTGAACCAAACAACAGAATGAAAGATCTGACAAATAGAGTATGTGAATGGAAATAATAAGGCAGAATCCTGGAATTGTGACTGTTCCAGTGAATTCAGGACAATTGGTTACTGTCCTTGTACTCAAACCAGAGGAAAGGGAAAACCACAGGACTAACAGAAAAATTTGTTTTTCATTTAAAACTTTATGTTGTTATATTTTTAGATTTAATAACAGTAATAATGACATGTATTTAATAGTAGCCATAATTTACTGCACATTTACTCCCTACTGTCTTATTCTGAACACACTGCATGTGTGTTCTATTTGTAATTTCACAACTCTGTAAGGTGGTTTAACAGATGAGAAAATGGAATCACAGAAAGACCGCAGAAAGACTCTTAGCTCCCAAAGGTAGAGATAGAATTAAACTCAGGTAACCTAAATCAAGATCCAAAGTAGTCATCATAATGCTGTATTGTGCTGCTTAGTTTTACATGTCAACTAGGCTAGGCAATTGTATCCCAGTTGTTTGGTCAATCACTAGTCTGGATGTTTCTGTGAAGGCGCTTTTCATATACAGTTACCATTTAAACAGTAGACTTTGAGTAAACAGGTTACCTTCATCATATGGGTCACTGTCATCTAATTAATCAAAGGCTTTAAGAGCAAAAACTGAGCTTTCCTAAAGAAGAAGTAATTCTAACTCAAGAGGGTAACATAGAAATCCTGACTCAATTTCCAGCCAGCAAATATGGGACTCAATACTGCAACACCAACTCTTGCTTGAATTTTCAACCTGCTCACCTGTTTACAGATTTCAGACTTACCAGCCCCATAATCACATGAACCACTGCCTTAAAATAAATTCCCTCTTAAAATAAATACACACACACACACACACACACACACACATCATACTGGTTTTGCTTCTATAGAGAACCCTGACTAATACACGTATATTTGTAGCTCTGAAGTTTCTATTATATACCATTATATTATATAACCTTTATCATAATCCTATGCACTAGGTAAAACAAGCATTATTAACATTTTACAGATAAATGAAATGAAGGCAGACTATCGAAATCATAGCTCTAGTATGTGATAAAGCCTGAACTAAAACATAGATCCAAGATTACAAGATCTGCCAGCACGTGCGTTAGTTTGGCTGCAGCAAATGTGTTATATATTTCCATAAGGATATGAGTTTCCCATCACCTACCTAGGTCTTCTGACTACATGGTTTAAAAATCTTTTCTTGGGCCAGGAGTAGGTGGCTCACACCTGTAATCCCAGCACTTTGGGAGGCTGAGGCAGGCAGATGGCTTGAGGTCAGGAGTTCTAGACCAGTCTGGCCAACATGGTGAAATCCCTTCTCTACTAAAAATACAAAAATTAACTGGGCTTGGTGGCAGGAGCCTGTAAATCCCAGCTATTCAGGAGGCTGAGGCAGGAGAATTGCTTGAACCTGGGAGGCAGAGATTGCAGTGGGCCAAGATCATGCCACTGCACTCCAGCCTGGGCAACAGAACGAGACTCACTCTCAATAAATAAATAAATAAATAAATAAATAAATAAAAATGACATTTTATGAAAAAAAAAATGTCTCCTCTAGTATTTTTTAATTTATTTCGGACCTCAAAAATCAAATTAATTCTTATTCCAAACAAGATAAAATATTTTCTCTACCCAACCTTGTCCATTCAATAATTTCCTCTCCTCCAAAAAAAAAATAATTTCTTTACATTTTACCACCTCTCAAATACATAAGTGCCACTTATCAGACAAACAAACATAGGAAGAAGAGAACACTGAATTCAAAATTGTGGAAAAATTCTGCCTCCTAACCATTTTTGGAGCTAACACAATATGCAAATGGGCAAAGATGTAGAAAATAGAATCCAGAAAACCAACATCTTCCTTTGTATTTTTAAATATCTATGGAGTTCCTATTGCACAGTGTGTACACTTGTCTCTCGAATGGTGGCAAAAGAAGTATGTTATTGAGTCACAGAGCAGTGGGTCTATGCTAAAAGCCTATAGAGCTTCTAGCATTTAAAGTAGCCTCAACAACAACGTCCTTCTCCTTAAGCTAATTTACCATGTCACCTGTGCACCACCACTGATTGTATTATTTATTAGATGTGTAGTTTTACAAGGCAATCAGTAATAAGGTCCCAGACAAGTGTTTCCACAGTTAACACTATGTAGGTCTAATCCATGGAATAAGAGATTGTAGTAGAGTGCATAGAAGTTAACTGAAGAGGGGTGTTTGACAGCAGACAGTAAAGAGCAATACTGTGTAAATACTTTAAAAGATATCATCTTAAATAAAGTGAAATAGCTGTGTAGTGAGCATTTGTTAGAGACCACACCCCTCATAAGACTGCAACCACCAATCATTAGCTCTTCTCAGCAACCTCAATCTATTTCACTTGGCAACTACTCTCCCACTCACTAAATTTTGCAAACCTATCACTATCTTTAAACCATTGATTTCTTCCTCTCATCCCAGCTTCACAGAGGAAATAGAAGCCATAGATTTGGAGTTACCTAAACATCCACATCAGTACCCATCCTCATTTCTCCTTTTACCCTGGAAGAACTGACCCTCCTCCTACCCAAAGCCAAACTTTCACCTACCTCTTTGGCTTCCATCTTGTGATGGTTACTTTGATGTATTTACCTTGGCTAGGCTATGGTACCTGGTTGTTTGGTCAAACACAAGTCTAGCTGTTTCTGTGAAGCTCTTTTTTTCAGATGTGATTAAAATTTAAATCAGCAGACTTTGAGTAAACAAATTACTCTCCATAATATAGATGGACCTCACTCAATAAGTTGAAGGCTTTAAGGGAAAAGACTGAGATACCCAGAAGAGGAAGAAATTCTGCCTTCAAGACTGCAACATTGACTGCTGCCAGAAGTTCCAGCCTGCTGGCATCCTGCCCTACAAATTTCAGACTTGCCAGCCCCCACAATATGGCAAGCCAACTCCTTAAAATCAATCTCCTTTTTTCATGTCTTTCTCTATATAGATGTATAGATATATCTGGTTCTATTTATCTAGAGTACTCTGACTAGTACACATACTCATCTACTTTCTTGGGAACCTCACACAAGAGCTTCCTAGTATTTTTCACAAAACGGTCTACTTAAAAACAAATTTGCATAACATACTGGCTGCTCATAGCTGGAAGCCCCTGCCACCTGTAGCAGAGGACATCAAGACTTCAGCACACCTGTAACTCTTAGCTGCAGACTCCCTCTAGAGGATCCCTTCATAACCCTTTGCTTACTTCTCTCCCTCCATGTCTTACCTCTCATTGAATTTTAAACAAGTCCAAGGCAAACAGGTTAAAAAATAACATAAAATAGAATATAGGTTTTTACATCTTCCTCGAATTAACACCTTATTTATTTTTCCTGTTTTGGACTTTTTATAGTTATTTATTCTGCTTCCCCTTTCTGTGCCTCCCATTCAAGTATTTGTTGAATGATTAAAGAAATGAATGAAGACCGGGTGCGGTGGCTCAAACCTGTAATCCCAGCACTTTGGGAGGCTGAGGAGGGTGGATCACGATGTCAAGAGATCAAGACCATCCTGGCCAACATGGTGAAACCCTGTCTCTACTAAAAAATACAAAAAAAATTACCTGGGCATGGTGGTGTGTGCCTGTAATCCCAGCTACTCAGGAGGCTGAGGCAGGAGAATTGCCTGAACCCAGGAGGCGGAGGTTGTGGTGAGCCGAGATCGTGCCATTGCACTCCAGCCTGGGTAACAAGAGCGAAACTCTTTCTCAAAAAAAAAAAAAAAATGAATAATTGTCTACTAAATGCAAGAATGCTAGGCATATAGGTTCTATCAAGATACATGAAACTTACTCCTTAAACATATAAGGCATATATTAGTACAAATAAGCATATGTATAAAACGTCATGTGATTGCTATAAGCAACGAGGTAGAAGGATGGCGCATCAAAGGATGAGAATTGCTTGGAAGATTTCTACTAGGAGACTAAACTTAGGTAAAGATCATTATAGCAAAGTACATACCATATAAGCTCATTTAGAAAACAACTGGAGCCAAGCAAAAAAATAGGTAAGAAGTATGGCATCCAAAAGTAATTCTGGAGGTAGGTGAAAGGTAGGGGAAGGAGAGATTTTGAACAGAGAACAAGGCTGGGCACAGTGGTTCATATCTGTAATGCCAGCACCTTGGGAGACTGAAGTGGGCAAGTCCTTTGAGGTCAAGAGTTTGAGACCAACCTGGGCAACATGGTGAAACCATGTCTGTACTAAATATACAAAAATTAGCCAGGTGTAGTTGTGTGCACCTGTAGTCATGGCTACTTAGGAGGCTGAGGCAGGAGAATCACTTGGACCTGAAAGGTGGAGGTTGCAATGAGCAGAGATCTCGCCACTGCACTCCAGCCTGGGTGACAAAGTGAGACTCCATCTCAAAATAAATAAATAAATAGAAAATGAGTTTCTCTAGGGATAAATCTAATTTTGGAGAAGCTAATGAAGGAAAAATTTTAAAGAAAATGCAGAAGCATCAGGGAAAATAGAAAAAAATATATATGGATATCTATATCTATGTAATTTTCAGTAAGTAAGCCAAGGGCACACACATAGAGAGCAGTTTCCACAAAGAAAAGAAAATGTGAAGCAAAAACTAGATTATCATATGTTAAGAGCACATGAAGGTGTGGAGGCAATAAATACCAAGTGTTTTTTCAAAAGAAAGGAACTGTGCAGTAACCTTGACATCTATTTGATGCTTCAGCATTCTCCCCACCATGTTTCCAGTCTCTCATTAAGGCTGACTGTTCCTCTCAGAAACGCCTACCATCCCGATCTTCCCTTTCCCCTTGCTACACTACCCCCTCTCCTACCTTACTTGGTCTCCTTGACGCTCGCTTCTCCTCCCTTCAGGCCATCCTGTGTTAGGTCAATGAAGCATGTGAGATAAAGGCAGCTGGTGCCACAGGAGGGACAGCATAGCAGGAAACAAAGCAGGTAAGAGCCTGGCTTCTGACACTAAATAACCTTAGTTTCAATCTTATCACTATCTGATCTTAAGCAAATTATTTGAGTTCATAAACCTGTTTCTTCATCTATAAAGCATGGGCAGTACCTTCCTTGTTGATTTGTTATTAGCTTCAAATGAAATCAAATAGTGCTAACTAGACAGATATATGTACCCAAGGTACATAATCATTTTTATTATGACATCAAACTAGTGTTTCTAAACCTTTATTATCCCATATCCATGATCAAAAGTCTTCAAGGCCCTACCATCTCTTACATCTTTAAATGTAAATTTCTCTCTCCTAAACTATGAGCTCTTGGGCTGGGACTTGTCTTAGTTATCTTTGCAACCCCAATTAAACACTTAGTACCATTTATTCAACACACATTTGCTTAACTGGGAAAAAGATGGACTTGTTAAATTGTCACTAGGTCAAAATAAGATGCTATTGACTTCAAGTAACAGAAAATACAACTAGCAATGACGTTACAAAATAAATGCTTATCACGTATAACAGAATTGTAGACATAGTGAGTTTCTGGATTATAGTGAGTTTCTGAATCCGTTGACTCTACACTGTCAGGTTCTTTCTCTCCTAATCCTCCACTCTTAGCATATTGGTTTTTTATCCTCAAACGTGCTCCATCATACTTCCAACTGGATGGTGTAGCCTTGGGCATCATGACCTCACATGAACACATTTAAATAGGAATCAGTGAAGACAAGCAACATGAGAGCTCTCCTTATTGCCCTCTCTCTCTCCTTACTTTACTAGTGAGGCTGCTTTTCTGGACTTCATCTGCCTGATTTTCCTTCTCTCAATTTGATCTGTAATCGTTGGAAGCCCCAGCGTTCTAAATTGGGTTTTCTTCACTACTAACTCTCATTGATGACTATGAATACTCACGCTTTCAAAAACTGTATTTGGATAACTGCCACATCTCTTCAAGCTCCATGCTTATATATCCAATTCATATCTTTACTGGGGTCTACTCTATATAACATTTTGCAACTTTTTTGTCATTCAGTATTAGGGAATGATAATGCTGGAATGATCAGATAGAATTATCAATCTTATCCATGAGATCTAGTCCATTCTACTGAATACTAACCAAATGTATAAATAAGTCTCAGTTTAGCTATCTCCTTGACTTGGGATAGTTTAGAAACTGTCTTTTTTTTTAATCTTTCTTGGTTTAAAGTCTGTTTTATCAGAGACTGGGTAGGCAATCCCTGCTTTTTTCTTTTCCATTTGCTTGCTAAATATTCCTCTATCCCTTTATCTTGAGCCTATGTTAGTCTTCGCACATGAGATGGGTCTCCTGAATACAGCACAATGTTGGCTCTTGACTCTTTATCCAATTTGCCAGTTTGTGTCTTTTAACTGGATCCGTTAGCCAATTTATGTTTAAGGTTAACATTGTTATGTGTGAATTGGATCTTGTCATTATGATGCCAGTTGACAATTTTGCCTACTCAATGATGCAGTTTCTTCATAGTGTCAATGGTCTTTAAATTTTGGTATGTTTTTCCAGTGGCTGGTTCAGTTTCTCCTTTCCATATTTAATGCTTCCTTCAGGAGCTCCTGTAAGGCAGACCTGGTGACAAAATCCCTCAGCATTTGCTTGTCTGTAAAGGATTTTATTTCTCCTTTGCTTATAAAGCTTAGTTTGGCTGGATATGAAATTCGGGGTTGAAAATTCTTTAAGAATGTTGAATATTGGCTCCTACTCTCTTCTGGTTTGTAGGGTTTCTGCAGAGAGATTCATTGTTAATCTGATGGGCTTCCCTTTGGGGGTAACCTTACCTTTCTCTCTGGTTGCCATTAACATTTTTTCCTTCATTTCAACCCTGGTGAATCTGATGACTATTTGTCTTGGGGTTGTTCTTCTTAAAGAGTATCTTTATGGTGTTCTCTGTGTTTCCTGAGTCTGAATGTTGGCCTGTCTTGGTAGGTTGGGGAAGTTTTCATGGATAATATTGTGAAGTGTGTTTTCCAACTTGGTTCCATTCTCTCCACTATTTTCAGGTACACTAATCAAACAGACGTTTGGTTTTTCCACATAGTCCCATATTTCTTGGAGGCTTTGTTTGTTTCTTTTCATTCCCTTTTCTCTAATCTTGTCTTCGTGCTTTATTTCACTAAGTTGATCTTCACTGATATCCTTTCTTCTGCTTGATTGATTCAGCTATTGATACTTGTGTATGCTTCATGAAATCCTCGTGCTGTGTTTTCAGCTCCATCAGCTCATTTATGTTCTTCTCAAAACAGGTTATTCTAGTTAGCAATTCCTCTAACCTTTTTTCAAGGTTCTTAGCTTCCTTGCACTGCATTAGAACATGCCCCTTTAGCTTGAAGGAGTTTGTATTACCCACCTTTTGAAGCCTACTTCTGTCAATTTGTCAAACTCTTTCTCAATCCAGTTTTGTTCCCTTGCTGGCAAGAAGTTGTGTTCCTTTGGAGAAGAACAGGCTTTCTGATTTTTGGAATTTTTAGCCTTTTTGTGTGATTTTTTTCTCATCTTTATGGATTTATCTACCTTTGGTCTTTGATGTTGGTGAGTTTGGATGGAGTTTCTGTGTGGACATCCTTTTGGTTGATATTGATGCTATTCCTATCTGTTTGCTGTTTTCCCTTCTAACAGTCAGGACCCTCTGCTGCAGGTCTGCAGCAGTTTGCTGGAGGTCCACTCCAGATCCTGTTTGCCTGGGTATCACCAGCAGAGGCTGCATAACAGCAAAGACTGTTGCCTGTTGCTTCCTCTGGAAGCTTCATCCCAGAGGGGCACCCACCAGATACCAGCCAGAGCTCTCCTGTATGAGGTGTCTATCAACCCCTGCTGGAAGGTATCTCCCAGTCAGGAGGCATGGGGGTCAGGGATCCACTTAAGGAGGCAGTCTGTCCCTTAGCAGAGCTCCAGCACTGTGCTGGGAGATCCACTGCTCTCTTTAGAGCTGGCAGACAGGAACGTTTAAGTTTGCTGAAGCTGCACCCACAGCCGCCCCTTACCCCAGGCACTCTGTCCCAGGGAGATGGGAGTTTGATCTATAAATTCCTGACTTGGGCTGCTGCCTTTCTTTTAGAGATGCCCTTCCCAGAGAGGAGGAATGTTGGCAGGCAGTCTGGTTACAGTGGCCTTGCCAGTCTGCAGTGGGCTCTGCCCGGTTCAAACTTCCTGGGGGCTTCTGTTTCTGTTTTTAAGTGATGATGTGGAAATTGCTAACATATATACTTGATTAAACAGGAACTAAAATTAATCAATCATGCTAATGTTCTTCTAACAAAAATTACTCATTTTTCTTATTAAGTGTTATAGATGTTTGGAATATTATTACATCTTGATATATTATTACCAAAATTAATAACCATGTTCTCTGTAAGAAATGCTTCTTAGGCTGGGCATGGTGGCTCACACCTGTAATTCCAGGACTTTGAGAGGCTGAGGTGGGCAGATCACTTGAAGTTAGGAGTTTGAGACCAGCCTGGCCAACATGGTAAAACCCAGTCTCTACTAAAAAGACAAGAATTAGTCTGGTGTGATAGCACATGAATGTTATCTCAGCTACTTGGAAGGCTGAGGAAGGAGAATTACTTTAACCTGGGAGGCAGAGGTTGCGGTGAGCCAAGATAGCACCAGTGCACTCCAGGCTGCATGACAGGCCAAGACCCTGTCTTGAAAAAAAAAAACAAACTTCTTTATATTGACTCACATGTTGCCTAATTTCTTTGCTTACCATTGTTACTTGAAGCCTATTCTTCCTTCTGGCTTTTTCCTTACTTATATCCTTTAAAAGTCTTTAATCGTCATAGATCTGAAAGTGGAAATACTCTTAGTTTTGTCAAAAAATTATTGTTAACTCTCCTTCCCAAATGAAAGTTTGCATAATTTATTTTAGATTAGCAGTTATTTTCCCTTAGTATTTGAAGAAACACAATAAAATATACCATTTTTTTAGCCCTTACTCTTGCTATTAAAAGCATATGCCAGCATAATTTTTGTTTCTTTTTAGGTAATCTGTCTTTTTTCTCTGATTGCCTTCTAGATCCTCTTTTATCTTTGGTGTTTGATGATTTCACTATAAGGTTCTATATGGGATTTATTTTTATTTAGTCTGCTCATAACTCATAATGTTGCCTTAATCTAAAGATTCACACCTTTCATACATTCTGGAAAACTCTCAGCCACTACCTCAACATATTACTTCTCCCTTTTCTCTCAAACGCCACCTTCTACAGCTTCTACCAGACTGATACTCTCACTCTAACCTTCATATCTGTTAATTTCTCCTACCTGTTTTTGAATTGTTTATCTCTCAGTGTTATATTCTGAGTAACAGTCTTCATTCCCACTCTCTGTTTGCAAATCCTTTAGTTGTATCTTACCTTCAATTTAGTCTACTGACTTTTTATTTCTAGAAATTACATTTCATTCTTTTTCAAATGTGCCATCTTTTTTATCTTACGATTTAAATTCCACATTTTATTTTTTATTCATTTTGTACAAACCAATTTTGGACCAGTGCTCTAGCAGTGGAAATTCTTAGGGTTCCAATCATTCCCATTGCTGTGTCTGTTGACTTATAAATTGTTGATGAATAGCATCTGTCAAGGGTGTGCCTTCCTGAAAGTTTTATATTTGCTTCTTTTACGTGCCCCAAGAGAACCACCACGCTGGGTCCAATTTTTATAGAAATCTCTTTCTTTCAAGGTTTGCAGACTTTGTGAGAAGTTATTATTTTGCATCTTGAACCTGCATGAAACACAAGTTTAGAATTTGAATTCTCAGAAAATTCTCTTTTGTTTCAGCTGCTACCTTTGGCATCCTTGTATTTTCTGTATCCGTGGGTAGATTTTTTTTTTTAGAACACTCTTTCTCTGAGGATTTCCCTGAAGTTCAGTAGTTTTGAAAGTCCCATATTTATTCAGCATTCTCCATTTCAATTCCCCCCTTCTTTTGAAGACAAGCCTTCAGTATCTGTCTCCATG